TATATATATATATATATATATATATATATATATATATATATATATATATATATATATATACACAGTGAGGAAAATAAGTAACAGCTAGAATTCTAAACCTCAAAGACCTTTTTGCCTTCAAAATGTCCACCTCCACTCTATTTATTATCCTAAATCCATACGATCAGTAATAATCCAACTAATAACACGGCCAAGACCAAGGAGCTGACCTAAGACACTAGAGACAAAATGGATTAGAAAATGGAAGAAGCTAAACATGACTGTCAATCACCCTCAAACTGGGGCACCATGCAAGACCTCACCTCGTGGGGTCTATATGATCCTAAGAAAGGTGAGAAATCAGCCCAGAACTACACCAGAGGAGCTGGTCAATGACCTGAAATGAGCTGGGACTATTGTTTCCAAGGTTACTGTTGGTAATACCCTAAGACGTCATGGTTTAAAATCATGCATGGCACAGAAGGTTCCCCTGCTTAAACCTGCACATGTTAAGGCTTGTCTTAAGTTTGCCAATGACCATGGATGATCCAGAGAAGTCATGGGAGAAAGTCATGTGGTCATATGAGACCAAATTAGAACTTTTTGGTCATAATTCCACTAACTGTGTTTGGATTGGTAGCATCATGCTTTGAGGATGTTTTTCTGCACATGGGGCAGAGTGAATGCATTGTATTAAGGAGAGGATGACCGGAGACAAGCAGTGCAAGATTTTGTGGAACAACCTTGTTCCCTCAGTTAGAATATTAAAGATGGGTCAAGGCTGAGTCTTCCAACATGATGATGATCCAGAGCACACAGCCATGATAACCAAGTAGTGGCTCTGTAAGAAGCATATCAAGGTTCTGGTGTGGCCAAGCCAATCTCCAGACCTAAACCCAATAGAGAATTTTTGGAGGGAGCTCAAACTCTGTGTTTCTCATTGACAGCTCAAAAACCTGACTGATCTAGAGAAGATCTGTGTGGAGTAGTGGGCCAAAATCCCTCGTGCAGTGCATGCAAACTTGGTGAAAAACTACAGGAAACGTTTGACCTCTGTTATTGCAAACAAAGGCTACTGTATCAAATTAATATTGTTTTTCTTAGGTGTTCACATACTTATTTGCAGCTGTATCATACAAATAAATAGTTTAAAAAATCATACATAGTGATTTCTGGATTTGCTTTTGTTTTTTTTTTTTACATTATGTCTCTCAAAGTGGATATGCACCTACAATGACAACTTCAGACCCTTCCATGATTTCTAAGTGGGAACTTGCAAAATAGTAGGGTCTTCAAATACTTATTTTCCTCACTGTATATTTGATCCTACAATTGCTTCAGTTTGGCAGGCGGTTCTTTTAAGAATTTAATTCATTCTTTTATTCTGCTTCAGACATATGACTTATTCACATGCTTGAAAATCCTAAAGAATTTGTTGGCTTGTTTTCATAGTTGTTGTCAATCATGTCTCTTCTGGAATCTGGAGGCAATCGTTCAAGCTTGCAAACTGCTTTTTGCCATCTTTCATTTTACTAATGAAAGCTTGAGTCACTCTTTGTTGTTTGTTCTATTTCAGATGGAGACAGATCTTCCTCTGCCAACTCATCAGATGAGGACACTGATGATTGGTCTATTCCATCCAATGACGAGCACAAGGTTAGCTACAAAGAATATTATGTTGAGCTGGTCACTGTGCATGATGGCAAGTTAAACCTTTGTCCTCATCCACCTTTATTTGTAACATTTCCATTTGTTTAAAAAGGTTTAATTTAAAGTATTAAGGGGAGTAGCTTTCCTTCTTTGACTTTTGAAGATTGAGCAGATTGATGATGTGTAGCCCTCAGTTTTAGTTCAACACATTAATAATCTGGGACTACCTCTATCGAGTATGTCAGGTGGAAAGAGGGACGTTAAGCAGAACCTTTTCAGTTGATTGGGCAAAGCCTACCAACGTTTGATTTTAGCTAGTTATTCTAACAAATGAAATGGCAGCAGAGGCCATGATAAACCACAACAAGTTCCACTTTTATGCTTTTGTTGTTCCTATTTCAAAAATGAAATTGTAGACTTCGACAAAACAAATGTGATAGCAGTGGCTACATGCACGTCCTTCTGCACTGCCATGTTTATCTTGATTTGACTGCGGACTCAGTGGCTCTTCCTTTTATCACAGCTTTATGCTCCGCTATGATACTGAAACATATCTGCTCTGGGATAAACGTGGAAGATTAAAGTTGGAACTCTATAGAATGGTTTCCCTTTGTTTGTGAACTCACAAATACCTCAATAATTCAGTTTGCAAGCAGGGTTAATGAAAATCCATCGATATCTCGATATCAGCTGATCAGTTGCTTCTGATGGTCCCAAAGACAAAATGCAAGCTCAGAGGAGACCGTGCTTTTTCTGTGGCAGCTCCTAAGCTGTGGAACGATCTGCCTCTGAGCATAAGACAGGCCTCTTCTCTTACTGCTTTTAAGTCCCTTCTTAAGACTCATCTTTTTTCCTTGGCTTTTGACACAATTTGAGAGGTTTTACTTTGTTTTATTCTTTTTGTATACTAATATGTATTTTACACTCGTTTTTTTTCTCTATTTTATAATTTTATTGTATTTTATGATTGTGTACAGCACTTTGGTCCTGTTCGGTGTATAAAGTGCTTCATAAATAAAGTTGGTATGGTATGGTAATACTTTAAGGGCAAGATGCCTTTCACCATTTGGTTTTTTAATTAACTTATTTTCATAATTATTTCATTTCCCTTAGGGATTAACAAAGTATTATACATTGAATTACGGTAATTGATGGAAAAAAGAAATGGATCTCTTTCTTACTTTATATGTACACCCCATGGAAGTGGGTTAATGAGCATTATCTATTGTGTTATATTGTATGAATGTTTGGTGGGCAGATACTTTTGGCATCAGTGGTTTGTATTTTATTTATTTATTTTTTTTTTGCTTCATTGAATACTATAATTCAATAAAAAAAAATCAGTATTTGAAGGAGTTTTTGTATATCTTCACCATGGTTATAATAGTAGTAGCAGATAGCACAATATATCTGAAAAATGAATCAGAAATATATAAAGAAGATATAAATTTGGGACACTCACCTTTAAGACAATATACACTTAAGCTCATCTTTGCAATACCAATACATTCTAGGGCTGCCAACAAACTAGTCTGTTGAGTTTGTGTGACCTGTGGTTTTATTCATTTGTTTATTATTTTCTTATGATGGTCTGGCTGCTCAGTGGCGCAGTGGGTAGCACTGTCCCCTTGCAGCAATAAGATCCGGATTCCACTGGCGACCTGTCCAGGGTGTACTCTGCCTCCCGCCAGTAGACAGCTGGAAATGGGCACCAGCACCCCTCGCGACCTCAGTTAGGATATAGGACGACCCTGATTATAAGACGACCCCCTCTCTCCAGGACCAATTTTTAGAGACAAAACAAGACTAAAATAGAGGGAAAACAGACTAATAAACCAAATTTATTTGGTTTAAAGAAACTATTTTATAATAAAGGGATAACAATTTTTATTTGAAGAATATTGCATTGAAAGATTTTTGCAGTTAAACATTTTAATTTAAATCTTGCAACATTTCAACCCGATGCAATCTGAAATTTGCTCACGGAACGTCTCAAAAACCTGCGTGAGGCTTTTAATCACAGATGTCCTCTGTCTCGCTGCGCTCGCTGTTACTTCTTCTATCACCCTGCAGCTCTGCAAGTTTTTGATAAGCTCTTCTTTAGCTGTTTGCCTTTTTCCTAGCCTTTTTCAACATGCCCTCTTCTGACATTGCTCTCTGTAACTGCGTATTTCTTTGCTGCCTGACAGTTGTTTTGATGCCTCCACTCCTCTTGACCACCATTATTTTAAAATCTGCGTCATAACTCTGCCTCAAATGTCTGCAAACTTGTCTGACTTTTTATCCACTATTCTTGGCAGCCATTCTCCATTTTTAGTATCCTTCTCACTTCTTCTCTGTTGTGATAAAAAGATGACCCCAGCCACAATGAGGTCACTGGCTTTACAAATAACTAACGCCTTCTGCTGTTGCGATCGTGTAGCGACCCCAGACACCTGTCAGCCTGTATAATTGGTTTGATCCCGATTATAAGACGACTGCACATTTTCACATAGTTTTTTAAAGAGAAAAAGAACTTATCTTATATTCAGGCCAATATGTTACGTCTAATTAACTATGAATTTATAAATTATTGCTAACGGGTTCTGTCATGCTGCAGCTCCAAGGGCAGAAAATATTTGTATTAGTTAAAATGAAATATCAAAGACTTTGACTGTAATATTAGTAGTATTTCTAAGGTTTATTTAATTCAGTATAATAATTCATATTAGATTGTCAGAACTATGGAATGTGATTTAAAACATTATGAAATACTGTGATAGAATTAATTTGGGCACCATAAAAATGTTTTTCTTCATATTTGTAACGACTGTAATGTTAATTCAGGAACAGTAGAATGACGCGCATCGTTTGGTGGGCAATCCTTTTTATCGTATTAAATCAGATACATTTAAAACTAATGAGGGTATAGCATTTATAGAGTATTTCTTCTCACTGTGTAATCAAAGCCCTCTGAAGGAGTTACAGGGGAATTCCTAAATTCAAGGACTTGGAGCTCATAACTAGAAATAAATACCAGTGGAGGAACACAAAAAGATAAGATATATTTTGTTAAATATTAGTATTAATGGTTGTTTTTTGATGAAAGTGGAGGCTCATCTTTAATACAATATTAGAATAAGACAAAATACTGTTCTGAACCCAGTGATCTAAATACGTTTGAGATATAACAAATTTGATTTAGTGCAACACTATTCACAACACCAGATGACAATAGGTTCCATTTGTCCGCAGAAGAATTAGAAAGTAGTAGAAATTTCCAACATCTGAGTTACTTTAAGTGTTTATAGCATTTCTTTATCTATGCAGCATGAAGTCAGTCTGTCTGTAATTATTTATGTTTAGGGGAGAATATATTTCAGTGCTGTGTATATGCGCATCATACTGTGTAAAACAGTTTTTTTTTGCCATTGTAAAGGCAAGAACACACCGGTTGTGTATGCCTTTTTAATCTCTGATGTCACACTGACTGCGTATACAGAGGCTTCCACTAGGCAGCACGGGCAGATCTGCGCAGAGTTTTTCTGTTATTCTGTCTCTGTGCTATTCACAAATTAAAATAATTTCCCACATTTGACTGGGACAGATTATAAAAATAAAATAAAAAATACTGCTGCATTCTAAAAAGCAAAGCGAGTTTGTGCAGCATCTCAAACCAGATCAGATAGAGAAAGTTCATATGTCTATATTATATACACATAATTAGATCCACATCTAAAGAAAAGAAAAGCACAGCAATGAATGCCGTGGGATAGTTAATGTGCTGGCTGAGGCAGTGAGATGTGATTCTCAGAGTGAGATCTGGGAAGTTTATTGTGCCCCTCGTTATTTCACTATTTTACTAAATCCATTTTTTTCTCTTCCTTAAGCCAGCTTCAGGAAGTCTATTCCAGAAGCTGACTGTTTCCCCATGCGATTAACAGATTTTATTTTGTATTATCCCCCAAATCGTTTGAAAATCTGTATCCTTGAAAATATGTAACTTCGTCTCTCTTCCTGTCAGACCCGTGAAATTGCTGCAAAGTCCGACTAAAATAGACCTGGGGGTCTATCTCAGTCAGACCTACGCAAGCCCCCTTGCATAAAATGGTGTCAGGTGTGATCGTCCAGATTCACTTTCAATTGACGCTAAACAACACAACCTTGTCTGAAACAATTTTCTGTTAATCAGACGCAAAATTGGATACTGTGTTTTCTGGCCTTAACAGGGGCTGTAGTGGCCATAGAGAGTATGGGAAAATGCAAGCAGGAAAATTTACTTTGGGAATTAACTCACTTCACATTCTCAAATTCAAGTTCAATGCATGTTCATATTTTAACAGCTTCTTTTTGTTTTTCTCTACTGCAGATCAAGGTTGGCTCAATGTATCAAGCAAAAATCCCACCAATAAATCCCCATGCATCTGAGGAGAGAGGTAAGGGAACATTTTTAGTGATGTGTTTGTAGAGCAGAACCCTTGAACATTATACAGCTAATACTCCAAGGAAATACTTTCAGCTGTTTTATCTCTAAAGAATTTAAAAATTACAAAGTTACTATAACAGAACTAAGGCTATGCAATTATCTGAAATAGTTATCACCTCTTTTCCTCTGTCCCCTTCTTTTATGCCACTTTCTCTTCCTTGCTGTCATCCAGCCTACAGAGACGATGACCAGTTGCTTTGGAGGCCAGGGGTTCTGCCAGTGCAGGAAGTGGAAGAATTTTTGCTGAATGCACAAAAACTTTGTATCCAGGAGTGGGCGGTATGGACCCAAGGAGCCCCTATCCAAGACAATGAGCAGGTACATCAATCCGACATTATATCCTATTCTCAGCAACTAGCAGTTTAATGGACGTTTTTGTTTTGTTTTTTGTAGTGGTTTTTTGTTTTTGCAACAAACTATTTTAAAGAACCTCTTGCTTGGTTTTCTTAAGATTCCTCAGAAGAACTGTTGTCTTAGCTTAGTTTAAGTATATTTATTCCTTTATATATAGCTAGCTGATGACATTTCCTGTTTCTGTGAAAGGTTGTAATCTTTGCCATCTTTTTCACTGTTCTTTTAGGCATTGTATGAACTAGTGAAATGCAACTTCAATGCAGAAGAAGCACTCAGACGATTACGCTTCAATGTTAAAGTGTTTAGTGGTAAGACTCTTGTTGTTCTGATTTTTTGTTACATAATCTGATTTCTATCCTATATATGGCAACGCCTGATATATAACACTTTCATGCAAGCTAAACCTGTGGAGATTATTTAAATTCAGCTAGAAAATGTTTGTGGGCAAGCAGATCATGGGCTTTGTATCAATTGACTTATAAACTCGGCTTCCAACTAGGGGTGGGTATTGGCAAAGAAGTCACGATTTGATTCGAATCACGATTCACATGCCACGATGCGATTCTATCGCCATGCATCATGATACTTGAAATATTGCGATGCATTGCGATATTTCCACTGAACACTGTAAGAAAAAGATACAGCCCTTACCAGTGGCTGACTGGCTGGGTATGATCTGGATAGTGTCTTCAATTGATACATAACTGAAAGCAACTGAATTCATACATAGCTGTATTTATTGAAACTACTTTTGGAGGTGTTGCCATGAAAACAAATACTGGACAGAAATATTACTATTACTGGCGTGGACACACTGACAAAAAGATCTTAGGATTCATCAAACTTAAAATAACAAAATAAGAATAATCAGTGCCGTTTACATGGCCTCAGTGGTCCTTTATACCAATGAAATGGAAACATTCAAATTTTTTTATTTCGCCTTTTGCAAATTACGTGCGTCATATCAATTTCGTTTTTACCTTCTTTGTTTTTAAAGCCAAAATGCATCCAAGCAAATGAAATGTGATGGAGCCGCGTGGCGAATTTTCATAGTGTCCTCCATGTTTAATTTCATATGACTCGTCGCAGTATCCCACGGCCAGACATGCTTGTGACAAAAGGCAGCTGGCGTCAACACATCCGCAGCGACATCTGCTGGACTGGAAGTTGTATTCCACTTGGTTTGGCTGATGTGCGCCAACCATTCATTTTTTTTTTTTTTTTTTTTTTTTTTTTATAATCCATTCTTGCCTTCACGAATCGATGCAGTAGATCACAAAAATTAGAATCGCGATGCATCGTCAGGACGATTATGTTGCACACCCTTACTTCCAACCCAGCCTTAAACGTTAAACTGTTAAACTGCCGTATTCAATTAATTACCTGTTCAACTGGTTATGAAAAAAAACACTTAATCCATTTTTATAGGTAATCCTTTTAAGATGTGCTGTTGCTCATTTAACCCCTAATATTTAAAAGTTCACTTTAAGACATAAGCTTGGTGTAAAAACATATATGCAGCCAACTTTAAAGTTTGCAACCCTTCTTCTCATGTTAACTTAAATAAACCTGAAATCAAATCTATGACTTTGGTCATTTAACAACTCTGTGGCTAGTTGGGTTGTAACTTATGGTCACAGTCTAATTAGAATATTGGTTTGTGCCAAAGCTTCAACTCCCTGCCTTGTTTTTTTTGTTTTGTTTTTTTATCCATTAGTTTCACATAATCTATTATGTGAAGTGCACCAGTTAATCCTGTAATAAAACACCCACAAAACATGACGCTGCCCCGCACACCATAATTTTCACATTACACATAAATTTTTTTATTTCCGAGTGTATTTGCAAACTTTTGTTTGACTTTTTATGTTCCTTTGTAGGAGATGATGTTTTCCTCCCTGATTGGTCGTTGAGCAGAGCAAACTCTTTCCAGTAGCTTTATTATTTTATTTTCCGCTTCAGTAGCATCTTCAGGTTTTTTTTTTTTTTTTTTATAAGTCTTGTTTGTTTGTGTTCTAGATGTTTTGCAAACTCTGCTATCACACTGGAGTGTTATGGTAGCAGGATATAAAGATAAAAATGATACCACATTAAACTGGGGTATCATTTTTAGAAAATATGAACATAGCAGCTTCAGATATGTGGGAACAACATGGACCAGACCTATGAAGGCTCACAGCACTCTGCTTGATAGCTTAGTTGATTTTCTAGATTTTACACAAGGAAGCATGTTTAAAGCGTTCCGTGACGATGCTTTCATTGGTGTTCCTCCATTTAACTTTAATGTTACGAAGTAGCCTAAGCTTTCATCGCCATGACATCATCATAATCATCATCATCCTGGCTTTCAGAAAATAGTTTGAATGCATAGAATATGTAAACTTCACAATTTAAAAAGTCAACATTTATTTTTTTAGAAATGGTTATTAAAACAGCATACTAGTAAATCATCTGGTAAAGGTATAATATATTTTGTAATATATAAAAATAGTATAACACTAATACATCATTTTAGTCCCATTAAGTGACCTGAAACATTTGATTTAAGAAAAGAAAGTGAGCATGAAATGTCACACTGTATATCTAAATGTCTAATTTCCACTGTAGTTTAACTCTTCAAATTTATCTAAAATGTGTTTCAGCTATTTCAAAGCCCGGTAACCTTATTTCTGTATCGTAAACCATTTGACAATAAAAGGTAGAGATGCACCGATCAAATACCTGGATCAGATATCTGTGGCAATATTTGTTATTTTGTTTGCTTTTACTGAATTAATAAAAAAAAAATTAAAAAATAAAATGTTATATTGGCTAATTAGCTGGATCATCCTGTGCACTGAACTCTTTCCTTTTTCTTTCCTTCTTTTGCTGCTAATTTTATTAAAAAAATAATAAAAAGTACATTACTATCTGTGATAATTTGTTATATTTCTAAATAATATTTGTGTCAAGGCTAAAAACTTCACCCACATTGCAAGATATAAGGTTCCTTTATGTAGCATTTGAATCAGATCAGTATGAAAAAACAAAAGAAAAAAAATTCAGAGTTTATGCTCTAGCCTAAGGACTCTACAGGTAGATTATCAGCTGGTGTTGAATGATTTTTAGTGTAAATGATAACATATACTCTACCTGAACTGGATTATATTATTGTTCTCTGTTAACCTGCTTCTTTCAGAGGAGCTGTGCTCTTGGAGTGAGGAAGAGTGTAGGAACTTTGAGAACGGCTATCGTGTTTACGGGAAAAATTTCCATCTCATTCAGGCCAATAAGGTAAAAAAGTAAAATTCTGAACTTTTTCACCTCTGGATATTGTTAAATGCACCATCTGTTACCGGTGGTTTATCAGTTTTTCTTCAGATTTCTTTCTACTGTAAAGGCAACCTTTGTTCTCACAGGTCCGAACACGCTCAGTTGGTGAGTGTGTAGGGTATTACTACATGTGGAAGAAGTCTGAGCGGCACATGTTCTTCAGCCAGCAAGCTACAAGGATGAGCCGAAAGAAGTACAGCATACAGTCAGGGAATATGTGAGTACTTCAGTGGATATATTTGGCAATAAATGAAGAGGATAAGTAAGATAATAGTAATATAAAAAGATGCTTAAAAGCAATTAGTTATTTCTAAAATCCGTATTTATTCGATTTCCATCCATCCATCCATTTTCTTACACGCTTAATCCCAAGTGGGGTCTTGAGGGGTGCTGGTGCCTATCTCCAGCTGTCAATGGGCGAGAGGCGGGGTACATTCTGGACAGGTCGCCCGTCCATCGCAGGGCAACACAGAGACAAACAGGACAAACAACCATTCACGCACACACTGACACCTAAGAAAAATCTAGAGAAGCCAATTAACCTAACAGTCATGTTTTTGGACTGTGGGGGGAAGCCGGAGTACCTGGAGAGAACCCACGTATGCTCAGGGAGAACATGCAAACTCCATGCAGAATTTATTAGATTTGTTTCTAAATGTATTAATTGCTTATTTATAATATTAAGTTTTATATGAAGTAAAATTGACTACAGCGACTTGAAAAAGCATTCCTCCCTTAAATGTTTCCATGTTTTGTCACATTGCAATGTCAAACTTTTGTGTATTTTATTTGGCTTTTATGTGACAGATTGGCTATGGGGTGTAGAGAATAGCTATGAGTTGTAAACAATTAAACCTAGTTTGCAAAATGCTGTGACAAGGTACAAGCAGAGCATTCTTTAGAGAAGCGGCAAAACAGCTTATATGTGAGCTATGTAGGAATTGGGGAGCCAGTCTGTTGAAGGTGCAGGTATTATCCCCTAAATCTGAACCTCATGGAAAGTTGATGAAAAGAGAGCCGTCCTGAAACAAAAACCATTAAAGTCCTATTTACATTAAAGCTGTTTGCTCTCAGTGTATCAAACCATTAAAACTAAAACTAAATTGATATGCCCATATCCAATAATAATGCTGTGTGTCATGGTCAAAATACTCTTATCAGACAGCAAAACACAGTGGTTGTATTATGAAGGCCCAATTATATTGGATTTGAATATGATCAAAGTGGACATTAAACATCTCTATTATGCTCTGATGTAAACCAACAGAGAAGCAACAATGTCTTTGCGTGACCCAATCCAGACTTACTGTAAACCAAACAGAGAATCTGTAACATCTGCACATTTAGAAAAGCGGAATGAGTAATGTGCAAAAACTCTTAGACTATGATGGATGTGCAGTAAAAATAAAGCCTTATATCAAGAATTACATGTTCACTTATACAGTAGTTTGCCCTAAACCCACTGTTATATGTGCAATCTATTTAGCATAACCCCTAACTTGCTGTCCACAGGTGCAAGTTACATTTAAGTGCATGTAAATACTAGTAGACTCTGCACCATGACACTTCTAGTGCTGGGACTGTATCCACTTCAGAACTTTCAGATCTTTAGTGAATGTGATTTTGTGTTTCAGTGAGGATGGAGACCAGGACACTGAAGGAGGAGATCTCGAGGGAAACAACACTTTGGGGTTGCTGTCAGAGATCTCAATGAGCTCTGAAAAGATGGAGTCCCCATTTCCTGCAAACACAAATCTAGATCTAAACAAGCAAGGTATAAATGAAATATATTTTTTGTTCAACTGTTAAACTTAATGCTATACATGTTCTTCATACAGAAGTTTCATTGAAACATGGAAGGAGAATACAATGGTTACAGTTTTTGTTTTTGGACCACTGATGTAATAACAAGCTTTTAAAAAAAACTGCAGGGAAAATGATTGTTTAATTTGAATAGGAAGGAGAGTCGTTATGCTAAAATTCTCTTGTATTTTGTTATAAAATTCAATTTTAGTTTTCATTAATGGTTGGAGTCTTCTCTAATAATCCTATGTTTAGTTTCATTGTTTAGTTTCATAATTCTATTTAATTTCTGCCATCAAGACATCATCAGTTGCTTCATCCTCATTATGTTTTTGTTATGTCTCCTTTGTTTTCTCCCACCTTTACCTTCACGTGTCTTGTTCTCTTTGTGCATGCATGTCTGCATGTCTGTGTTTGTCGGATGTGCATGTTTGTCCTTGCACGGTTCGTGACGGCTTTCTGCTCCAGAAGAAGAAGGCCGCCCCAGACGCAGACGAACTCCCCGCTTTCTGTTAAAGCCATGACCTTCGTCCACATGCGCCACAGAAAGCAGGCTGGGCCTGCAGGTAAAAAAATAAAAAAATAGTGTAGAAAATTGTGGTCACTGAAAATGAATGTGATGATCTATTATTGAAAAGATTGTCACTTAGAATTGCAATGGTTTATTGTGTATCTTGATGCAAATTGTATCACTAGAAAATAACACCCTGCATAATCCCACATTTGGTTACATTACTGACTTACTCTGTTTTTGGAGGGGAAAAAGTCAAATCTAAATACTTCAATCCTACCATGACAAGGCAAGAACAACTTTCTAGGAGGATGTGCAAATTACTCCGAGCATTGGTTAATCCAGTGTTTTATTAGTGTTCACACCTATTGGTTACCATTCTTTTAAAGCAATCTCTTCAAGCCTAGCGCACTGTATTTATACTGTGTCTCAGCATCACAGTAAAGCAGTGCATCAGGTCAGTCATAAGATCACGATGAATATAGCCACCCACTCTCCCATCACTTTGAGCTCCTTCCATCATTGCAGAGATACAGATTGCCAAGGAAAATGTGTACAGAAATTATTTTATGCCCTCTGACATCAAGGAGCTGAACAAGTAAATGTCACTGGGTTCTAATTATACTATTTTTTTTTTAATGCTGCAGAATATTTTTGTATCTTTCCCTTTATTGTGCCTTAAAACAGCTGTTAAGTGTCTGCAGACAACGTCCTTTCTCCGTTCCTTCTCTGATGCCCACTGTCAGCTGTAAGACGTTATGTTTGTGTGTTCCATTCCACCACATCAAGTTATCCGTCAAAATCAGAAAGCAACTCATGAACAATCATTACAGTTCAAATAACTTTGAGCTCAAAGCAAGATTGCGGTATATAAAATTTGAAAATAATTCTAATACATTTTCTAGGAAATGTATGAAATCATGTTTTTATTATTTTAAGCTTTAGACTTAATTGGATTCTGTAAATACCATAGTAGCCCGTATATAGGACGAGGTTTTTTTTCCAGTTAAAAACAATGTGAAATTTTTTGGAGATCTTATAATAGGGGTCTAACCAATTATACAGGCTGACAGTTGTCTGGGGTCGCTACACGAACGTAACAGCAGAGGGCGCCAGTTTTCTTTAAAGCCAGTGACCTCACTGTGGCTGGATTCATCTTTCTATCAAAACAGAAAAGAAGTGACAAGGATGCTACAAATAGAGAGTCACTGCCTGGAACAGAGTGCATCAAAACTCAGAGTTATTTTAAAATCGTAGTGGTAAATGCAGAAAAGGCATCAAACTGTCTGGCAGCAAAGAAATATGGCGTTGACTCTCCTCAGAGTTTTTCTCACTTCAGCTACGTCCAGGTTCAGTGCCTCCTCCCCCTGGTGTGGAACGGCTTTTATTATTGAGTTGTTGTTCAGTGCCTCAAACCTTCCTAAGAAGTTGTTTAGTTAATTTAGGAAGTCAGCATCAGCTGCATCTACTGGGGTTGAGGGTGTATTGTAGTCTGTGATCGCCCGTATTCCGGCTGTGTTTCTGCTTCGCTGATCTGATGGCACGGTTTAAGTTGGCACGTGCTGTTCTCAGTACCTCTCTGTCACCAGACTTGAAATCTGAGTACTGTGCTTTAAGCCTCATGCAGGTTTTAGAGACATTCCTTGAGCAAAGTTCAGATTGTATTTGAGTTGAAGTGTTGCAAGATTTCAAATAAATGTGTCATTACTGTGTTTTTTGTTTTGTTTTTTTTTTTTTACTTTTTATTGTTTAAGGGTATAGTGGAGGATGTTCTTTTTTCGGGTGGATCATCAAAATAACTGATCCTCCTAATTGTCAATCATTCTGGTGATATGTTTAAGTAAGGTGCTCTTCCCCATTTTCACTTCCTGGTGACGAGTCTGACATAGTGGAAAAATTGCATATTTTGTATAGGCGATGCAAACGGCAACTTGTAAACAGAGCGTGCACGAGGGGAAATGGGCTTGTGCACGCTCTCACAAGCAGTTAATAGGCGTTCCCTCTCAGGAGTGGGTACAGGGTTGTGCATGTGCATTTTTTTTTCTAAGTCGAGAAGGCTTTTTTAAATATTTGTGAAAATCCTCCTTTAATTGCAAAAATCTTTTAATGCAATATTATTCTAATGAAATTCTTATCACTTCTATCAAAAAATGGTTTATTTAAACAAAATTACTTTGGTTTATCATTTGTTTTTTGGTCTTTGTGTTTTCTTCCTAAAACTGATCCTGGAAAGGGGGTCATCTTATAATCAGGGTCGTTCTATATTTGGGTCAGTAGTTTTAAACTTCAATTAAATAATTAAAAAAATCTTTGCTCTTCTATTTTTGTCCCTTAGATGAAGAAGAAGGCTTGAACAGAAATAATTAAATTACAATTTAGGTTTAGATTTAAATCTAATCTGGTTTTAAAAGACTGATAAACTTTCTTTTGTCGGTATTACCTAAGTCTACACTTATTCTTTGAAAAATATTTTCAACTTGTGTGTTTTGCTTAATTCTTTCTTCTGGTTCAATAAAATATTATTTCATGAAAACTTTGAATACTATTTATTGAAAGATCAAAGACCCGATGAATCTGAGCATTTTCTTGATTTCATATCATTTGAATTTCTCTCTGTGTGCTCAGATGGTGAGCTGGTGATGAGTCTGTCCGAACTGTGTGACGACGATTGTCCTCAGCAGCTTTTCGACTGTCCGTTCTCTTTCTCATCCATCGAAGAACTTGGAGACCCTGACTCGGATCGTCTGACGGCTTCAGTGCAGCTCCACCCTCAACCCTCTGACCAGTGCCCCGAGTGGGCCAGAGGAAGCCCTCAGTCCCACGATGACGATGACCACTGCTTTCTAAACTCCTGCTTCTACCAGCTGCACATGCAGGGCAGACCTTTTGTTTCCGATGGCTGTGGTGTGGCAGCTGGTGGAGCTCATGCCTCCCACACTCTGCAGGTGGAATTTAACCTTCCTTCAACCTCGGCTTCCTCATCCGCCCTCCTCTCATCAAATTTCCAGGCATTTGGCGGCCTGCTGCACCCCTAGCACTGTTTGCATTCTCCCCCTCAGAAAGAATTTGGGGTACATAGAAAGGTAAAATCTGAGATGAGATTATGCTGTTCATTTGCTCTGCAGAGAAATATTTATCCATACAGTTTTTATACCAGAAAAGGATGGACCTTTTGCACTGGAGTAGAGCTTGTTATCAACGTCCGTCCATTGCTGAATGTTGAGAGAATAATGGACCTTTTAAAGCCATCAGGTGTATATCTGTTAAATACAAATTTGTTAAAGCACAGTGGATGGGATGAGGGCTGCACACCAATTTTCAAAATCACTTCCATTATCTTTAACTTATTTTATTTTGTTATTGTTTTTGTAATTACATATTTTGTTTTGCATCATGCACATCAGTTGCTTGCTTTTGGTAAGTTTTAGATATGGAAATTGTTTTTTCCTTTGTCCCCTAGTTCTGCCTCATTTTATGTTTTTTTTAGAATCTGGGTGAAACTTTTTCATATTTACGTTAAAACCTGAATGGAAAATATTTTATTTAATATAGATTAGTTTAAACGCAAAGCCATATAGGAGCACAACAGTCCATTTACATTTTTCTCCCATTTTGATATGTAATGATTAGGTTTCTACATGTCTTTTTTTTTTTGTATTCACTGACTTCCCACTAATTTCCACTTCTAGTGGAACTTAGTTCAACTAAAGCATCAACAGATGTTGTGTTTTGAGGTCAATGTAACTTCCTTTTTTCTCCGTTTCCATATAGCTCACACCTTTGAGCCAGGAAACGAACCCACCTATTACACAATTACACAATTTAAAATACTGGTTCCTACCTCGGCTTTATTCATATTTAACTGAACACTTACATTTATTTTATCCGGAAAACGAAAGGAGCACCTCTACTGAGCGACATTTTGGGCTTTTTGTGTCACATTAGATCATATTTCAGTGAGATGCTCTGGTTTAGTTGGATAACAGTTATGCATTTCTTTTTTTTATCCCCTGCAGTTGCTTTGCTTTTGAAAATAAAAAGCCTGAATGAAACAAACTTCTTTATAATAAACAACCAACCAACCAAGCAGCAGCAGCAGCACTCAGGAAATGTATGTAAAGATGAATTCTGTTCATGTCTGACCTGGACAAGCGATGTCTGCACATCTTATTTGCCTATTTATGTAATAATGGTAATAACAGTTGAAATTCCCTTTTTGTCGTATTCATATGGTTTATATTTACACCTTGCTGCTTTTTGGCGACTCTAAAATGTCAAGAAGTTTCCGAGACGAAGTGAATTAAATCCACTTCAATGCTTTACATCTAGAATCCTTCATTTTTTTTGTTTCCTGTAATAACTGGCCATGTAAAGCATGCTCAAATTGGAGTAAATCTTTCTGTTTTGTCTTTTTAAACATGGTTTGAAAGACAGTTAAAGCAGTAAAAATTAGCTGAAATCTCTCTTTTGGTTATTCCTTTTTGTTCTTATAAATTTATATATCTATATATATTCAATTTATGAATTACTGTCATATGTCTTTTAAATATAGTTTGTAAATAAACATCTGAAAGTAAACCCACCAGTGTAAAAATTAAACTTAGTGTTAAATTGGTTTGAGTGTTTTCTCATGATTTGTTGCCCTGAAATTATTTGATATTGAAGTTTATTCACATACACTAATTTGAATTCTTTACTTTGAGACATTCTTTAAAAGCAAGAGATTAAATTGAAAAAAAAAAAAAATTTAACTTTGCAAAAGTGTCAGTCTGCTCTTTTCTTTTTCCATGAGTTGCTGAGGGTGTTGATAGAGAAGACACTCTGTTGGTGTCTTCTGAAGATGATCACTAAGGTTTTTAATTTAATTTTATTTTTCCTTGTGAAATTATCTAATGAAAGGTTCTGATAATACAGCTGGTCAACTTCCATGTTGTTCAGCTTACTTTAATTTGTTTTGATGCAGGTTCCTTAGCAGATGATTGTAGAAGAGATCAGACTCTCTACAAGAGATTTATTGAAGATATGCATCATATTGCTGCCAATGCAGAAGGACATAACTTTCCTTAGAAAGTATAGTCTTCTCTTTCCATTCTTGTACACAGCCTTACAGTTGAATTTTCAGTCAAAAGTGTTGTCACTTGTTGTACACAACAAGGTAATTATACTTATAGTACTGTACCACCTCAACTTTCTCTCCCAAGTTGAGAAGAATGCAGCCTTCTCCTGTTTCTTTTGAAATCTACATTTCCCTCGTTTTGTTGACATTCGGGATCAGATGATTGTTTCAACACCATGTAACAAAGCAGTTCCTCAGCTCTCTGTACTCAGCTTCTTTTCCAGCTGTGATGCACCTAACAACTGCACAGTCATGCAAGTATTGATGCAGATGACAGGAGTCTGTCTTGTACTGGAAGTCAGAGGTGTACAGAGTAAATGGGAATGTTAGAATTCTATCCCCTGTGGTGCTCCTGTACTGCTGACTATCTCGGGCCTCTTTTCTCCTAGTTTGCAGAATTTGTTAGTTCAATCTCTAGCGTTATGCTCGCTCTGATTTTTTGTCTTATATTAGCTTCATCTGGTCTGTTCCTGTTTGGCTGTGACACCATCCTGGAGAGAAATATCAACTGAGCTGCTCTAATCAACACCTTTGGTTTATACAGTTTGGAGCTCGGCCTATTTTTCAGTGTAGTCCTGTTTCTCTGACTGGCTGGATATGCTCTCTTGTGCTCTCTGGCGTGGGGGTGGGCTCGGGGTTCATCTGCCTGGCTGTGTGTTTCCTGGACGGGGCTGCCTGTGGAGCTGGATAATAAGTTCCTTTGTATCTCTGCTTCTTTCTGTATGTCGGCCTCGGCAGATGGCCGCTCACACTGAGCCTGGTTCTGCTGGAAGTGTCTTCCTGTTAAAAGGGAGTTTTCCTCTTCACTGTCACTATAAGCATGTTTGGTGTAAGGGATTCACAGTGAGCCTGGTCCTGGTTCACTTCTTCCACATCACTGTAATTGTCTCCTGGGTCAGACTAAGGGTGAAGAGGTGCTGTAGAATCCATCAGAGCTGCTCTGCACAGGACTCTGGGGCCGACACCATCTGGACCTGGTGACATTGTGATGCAGTCTCCCCAGCTGCGTCTTCAGTTGACTTTTAGAAACAGACAGGTGGAAGTTGGGGGGAACAGCATTATTGTCTGATTTGTCTAAAAACAAACACATAAAAGCAGGACAGTTTATGGTAGCGGTGGAAGATTTGAGGTGTGGCAGAGAAGCTTTGGATCAAAGGAGTGTGGGGTGTCCATTTCACTGTGGGCATGAGAGAAGGATACTTAGCTTTTCCTCAACAGAGCCTAAGGAAGAACATATTTATATATATTTGGCTTCCCAGAATTAAATCTATTTCCCAGACTGTTCATCTACTGTATGCCCCTTCTTTTCTGCCGTTTTAACCTTAAGATGCTTCTGTACACTCAATATTTCCTTGTTTTCCTTTCTGAAGGATCCTTTCTTGTTCTGCAATTGCTTCAGATTACTGATGATCCAGGGTTTATTATTGGGAAAGTATTTTACTTGTATATTGGGGATGTTCTTCATAGTTCTTTATGTAGTCAGTCACACACTCAGTTATTGCACCAACATCCTCTTCATGTGGCCAAAACGCATCCAAGTCTGTAGCCTCAAAACAACCTTGCAGGGCTTCTTCAGCTTCCTCTAACCATTTTCTTACAGTTCTTTTTAATGCAGGTTGTCTCTTATAAAGGAGCTTAAACTCTGGGAAGAGAAAAACAAGATTGTGATGCAATTTCCCAAGAGGAGGCTAACTTGAACCCCACTTGGCCTTGGCAGATGGCTATTCACAGTGAGTCTGTTTCTGCTGGAGGTTTCTTCCTGTTAAAGCAAATTTTTCCTCTCCACTGTCGCCACAATCATGCTTGGTGTGAGGGATGGCCTTTGAGTCAATGGTTAAAGTTCCTTGAGATGACGTGTTGTGAATTGACGCTATATAACAATATAAAACTGAAGTTATATAATTGAATTGAATTGAACTTTAGTGAGACATTTGCATAAAACAACTCCAGAATTTTGTTTTCTCTGGTTCAGCAGCTGACAAACTTTTGGGGTTAGGCATAATTAAAATCGCCAGTTTTTGCCACAAATGCATTTGGCTGCTGTATCTGTAGCTCAACAACAGCAGAACTGATCACATCCCATGCAGTGTCAGCAATAGCAGTGGGTGGAATGTCAGTAGTTACCAAAAGAAAACTGGTAAACTCTGGGAGAATAATATGGCCAAAAAAACAACTGCCAACAGTTAAATATCTGGGCTGCAGAGATGAATCTTCACAGTAACATGTCCTGGATGACACCATCTGTTGTTCACAATCACTGCCAACCCACTTCCCTTGAGTTTTCTAGCTATCTATAAATTCTGCTGATTTGTATGTCAGAAAGCCTGGCAGAGAAACCCTGGAGTTAGGGATATGATCCTACTGCCATGTGTCAGTGATTCACATTTTACTGTATTGCCATTATTTTTGACTGGATCCTTGTGAAGGCTTGGTGTTCTTCTTACTTGTTTCCTAACGATCTTGCATTGCTCATAAAAATAGATGGAAAATATGGCTTGTGTTTTCTGCTCCTTTCTGTCAGTAGAACTGGTAACAAAGTCCAGGTCTTATTTCCACCTGCAAAATCTTCATGGTTTCACCTGCTTGATATGCAGATTAAACATAGTTATTGGTTTTTATTTATATTCTTTTTGGTAATTATCATTTGATACAGAGAAATAAAGCATATTCTTTTCATTATCAGGATGTGTCTGGCTGGACTGGAGACAACATGAATTCATCTAGTGATGTCAGCGATTACTGAGTCCATGCAGAAGCTTAATCAATTCAATAAATCATTTAAAAGAATGGATTACACAGCCTAAAAAAATAAAAAATGTACTGCTATAAAGCAAATTTTAATACATTGATACTCAGTTAACAAGTATTTGCTAATATTGGGTAGTTCAACATCTCGCTTTTTGTTCTCTCTGCTCTTTCCTTTCATTGTAGCAAAGAAAAAAGAGAAAAAATATGGGCTGGGCTGCTGCCATCCACACATTTGTTTATAAATGAATATGTTGGATCTGTTTTTCAGTGCTTGGTTCTGTTTCTGTTCTAGGACTTTGGGCTCTGTAATGCCTTTTAGCATAAAACTGCCTCAGAGTCTGTCTGACTGTTTCTTTCCTAGATAAAGCCTCCTATGGAGCTACTTTACCATTTCATTTTCTAACATAGAAAATATTTGTGGATTAGTGCTTCTATCTCTCCCTCTGTCTTCTCAATCCCCCTTCAGCTTTGCCATAAGGCAGCCTTCTCTATGCTTGGTTCTGCTGGAGGTTTCTTTCTGTTAAATAGGAGTTGTTGTTTTTTTTTTTCTTTCCACTGTCAAGAGTACTTAACTGATTTTCCCTTAGATAGAAAACTTTTATCGAGTCTGACTGTAAAATCTGATTGAATTGTATCCGTAAAGGCAATGGCATTATATAAATAACTGTATTTAATTTTATTCAAATAACATGTAAAATAAGTTCTGTTCAAAGCAAAAGTGGATTGAATGAATATAGAGGTTCTGTGTTTGAGGCTAAATAGAAGCATCATCAAATTCTTCATACAACTTAGGCTGGGTTTGAGTCTTATTAATGTTAACTGTTACATTTTCTTTAATTACATGATACAGAAACACAAATCATTTGTTTTTAAGGCCATTTTTGAACCCACAGCTCAACATGAATGTTTATGTGGAGTAGACAGTTATAGTATCAGTTTTGTTGTGTTTTTTGGCACGTTTCCTAACTGAGCAAGATTACCTTAGGGTACCTCAGTGGGAACTACCACAAACGAGCGCTTCTGCAAACAGAAAGCGGTTCTGTGTCTAATGATTTATTTTCACTTCCTGACATACCTGGCAGCAACCAGTTAAGTTGGATATTCCACAAGAATGAACAAGGTAAACCGGTAAGATGAGGTCGTTTCCAAACACTTCAACGGACAGACTAATGAGAAATGAGGAGTCTTTAGGCACTTGAAACAAGGTTAAACCTTATTTTAAAAGCATTGAATGTGAAAAGAAAAGGTAATTGTTACCAGTGAATCCAATTCTACTTTTCTCTTCTGAAGTCAATGCTCAAATTAAGTTTTTTCTTTTATTTATTTATTTTTTTAAACTAAGGTCTGATTACTAGCAAAACTTAAATATTTGTTCATGTTTTTCTTTAATTGTGCTGTTTCTTTTTCCTAGTCACTGAGACTTCAATGATGCAAACAACCACAAGAGGGCAGAGAAGTCTTATTTAAAATAAAATTCTTTCTTGCATTTTTTTTTTTATTCTGTAAATTGTTACCATTTAATCTGCCTCATGCAAAATATAAAAACTGTAGCAACAAAAATCTTCACACAGTCTGATATAATTTTATTTAACTCCCTTATGTGCAAAAGTCATATAAAAGCTGCAGTCCAGTGCACTCATGCATGGAAGATATTTCTCTGCAGCTCTGAACCAGTTTGCTCCAGGGGGAAACACAATGTTTTTCATGCAAGTAGAATGAAGTGTCAATGCACACTCAGGGCTGGATGCACAAGCAAACGATTGCCCTGTATTAAATGCTGCTGCTGGGGGTAACACCTGAAGGGACCAAGGGTCCCTTAGGGCTACAGTCATGCTGCTGTTAAGTCATGCAAATTCTTAATCCCCTGTCCACTGGCTTTTTAAGACTCCCTTTTATGTTTGATGTTTTTTTTGTATTTTCATTTTTTTCTGGTTGTTGCTCAGACCCCCAATACAGTACATCACAGAAGTATTTACACTACTAGGTTTTTTTTTTTTTTTTTGATTGGTCATATTTGAACTTAGATCAACAATGTATTTGATTGTGATGTGTGTCTGAACAACACAAAGCGGTACACAGATGAAGAGGAAATTATAGAGGATAATTATTGGTCTGATTACGAATAAAATCTCAATGACAACTGCAATGATGGGTGCAAGTCTTTGAGGTATATCTCTACTATCTTCAGACATCTTGCAGAAAAATGCTTGAGCTCAATCAGAATGAATAGAAAGTTTCTGTGAACAGCTGTATCACATCTTATGATAGATTTTTAATAAAAAATATGTCTAGACTTTGATTGAGCCATCGAAACAGATGGATATTTATTGATCTTACTCATGCCATAATAGCCCTGGTAGTGTGTTTAGAGCAGGGGTCTTCAATATTTTCCAAGCCAAGGACCCCCAAACTGATGGCGAGATGGAGCGGGGACCCCCTAATTGTATATATATTGTATGAAATTGTGTTATATTAGACTGGTCCTATAGTCAGTCTAATACAGATGGAGTAATGTAATGAAAGTAATTTCTCTCTGGGATTATTAAAGTATTTCTGATTCCTGGTTGATGGGACAGGTGTTGTGAATGAAATGGTGCCCAGTTTGAAAGAGCTCCTGTGTGTCGCTGAATGTGTGCATTGATGACTGAAAGACATCTTCTGCCTCCATTTAACTGTTTACTACAGTGTGTTGAATTCATGTTAATGTGGATTTAAAGACATTTCAATTAGTGGAAAATTAAAGGGGTGAATATAAAAAAAGTCTAATCAACCAAAAGTTTCACGACCCCCATGCAGTACCTCCGTGGACCCCCTAGGGGTCGCGGACCCCCTGTTGAAGACCTCCGGTTTAGAGTGAAGGTCAATCTCCACCCCAGTCTCAACCTTTTGCAACCTCAGTATCCCAAGGTCGCTGTCAGATGCCCCATGTACTTCAGTCAGCTTTCCAGCATGCGTGTGCATGCTAAAAGCTTCCCACAGCATCATGCTGCCGTAACCTTGTTTCAGAGTGGGGTAGTTTGTTCATGACAGATTGTGTGGTTCCTTCTCAGACATTTTTTTTCATGAAGTCCAACAGCTTTTTTGTTTTAGCTGAGCATAGCACCTTCTTCAGCATGTTTGATTCACGACATGGTTTGTAGTAAACAGCAAATTGTACTTCTTAAAGTGTTACCCCAAAATTAACCTTTTTTTTGCATTTAAACTTTTAAACAACTTTGGCAACTGCAGTTGAATTTTTCTGATGGTTCATGCTAGTATGTGCCACTAGCCATTTCTATCCAACTGAAATGCAAAGTTTAAGTAACTTTTAAATGTAATTTCAAATGCTAATTTGTATTTTTTTTTCCATTTAGTTTGAAGTGAATTAACTAAGCACCAGAAAGTAGAATCTTGTCATATCTAGTTGTCCACATTATGTCGTCAAGCATGGCTGTAATAAACAGGAAGTAGAGGCTGTAATCTTGCATGGACTATAGATCAGTAATAAAGGAAAGTTTTAATAAATGCGTCATTATCTAGGAAGTTGTGCTACATCAGAGCTTATTGAAAAAATAGTTTCTATCCCCTGTTGTGTGCATTGATATTTTTCGCAAAAGCCAAAAACCACTCCAAGCGAACATAAAACCTTTATGCGAATTTTTGAGGGAGTTGTTTCACCTTTATGATGCAGTACTTAAAAAGTGCATTAGAAAACGCTGATGGAAACGCATTTTATGTCACTTGCACACAATATTTCATAATAACCCCCAATTCAGGCATGGGAAAATTATGAATTTAAGGACTGCTGGTGAAGATTCTCAGTCATCAAGGTCATAATCATTCAAAACATTTTAAAAAAAACAATCCACTAGACTTTATTTCCAAGTTTGAAGACGTTTCCATCCCCATCCAGGAAGCTTTTTCAATTCAAATTCAGGAAGCTTTGAATTGAAAAAGCTTCTTGGATGGGAATGGAAACGTTTTCAAACTTTCAAACAAAGTCTAGGGGATTGTTTGTTTATTAAACTTTTTTGAAGGATTTTTATTACGTTTTTACCAGAGGTACGCCTCATACCAAAGAACAATCCTTTAGAGTGCTTTTCTAGTTTCTTTCTGAAGTTAAGTTTAATGATGTTCTTTTAATCTTAAGCTAAGTCATCTCCCAAACTCCTGCTGAACCCTCAAAGTGATCCCCGCCCCTCCCATCCTCTTGGCACTCAGTACTATGGAGGTATTTTTCAAACTTTGTTTAGGGGCAGGGTAAAGTAATGTTTTTTTTCCTTAAATTGAGGTAGGTTACACTTTTTAAGGTTTTGTTCTTACTCCTCACCAACTTTCTGGCATATAATGTTCTCCTTTCAACAGATAAAAAAAGCATAGTGGAACGTTAATCATTTGTGTTATTCCTTCATTCCAGCTTTAAATGTCCCTACAACTTTACCTTTGACCTTCCAGCTAGTTTCTTGATTTAGTGTAGTATCTTTTTCCTTTAGAATATGATATATGTTTCTGTGATGATTTTGCAGGTGATATAAAATATGACTCCTAAATTAAAGATCTTTATAGTTCTGTCAGAATTTTAAAGCATTGTTATTTCCATCCAGCTAATTTAGTTTGGCGACACTGCAAATATCATCTCTTTGTCACTCTTGATGAATGCTTTAATTATCTAACAGTTCTCAGATGTATGCATGTATGAATGGCTATATGTATGTTTATATGAACATGAATTGATTTATATTATATACTCACTTGACATTTTGAGTATTGACTAATATGTAAAGCAGCAATCTGGAAGATTGTTGGTGTTGAGGAAGGGATATGAATAATAACTTTTACTACTTCATACCCCTTTTCAGACATATACGGAAGAGGATTAGGGCCACTGAAAAAAATTAAAAAGATAACTGATTTTTACATTTTATTTCAGTATAATGTGAGAAAAAGGTCAGAATTCTGACTTTTTTTTTTTTTTCAAAATTTGGACTTTAATTCTCAGAATTCTGACTTAAATCTCAGAATTCTGACTGAATTCTGACAGCTAACAAACATGTTAGCATCAAGCCGTAGCCATGTCTGTTTTAGAGACTAGCTCTCTTGTTTTAATCACCTTCTGCTCCTCTATTAATGAAATAGCATCACCAGGGACCCCTCAGGCACATAAAAAGTCGCCTAATTCCGTCATTTTCCACCAATGTGTCACTGACCCTCTCAGACAACTCGCATATTTGTCAGTGAAGCTGAGTGCTCCCACATCTCTGCCTTCATGGTGCCCATCTACATTAAGATCCAAGATTCTGAGATTAAAGGAATAGTACACCCAAAACATGATTAGCCTTCATTTTCTACTCACCCCCATGCTGAACAACACTCTGGAGTACTTTTTTGATATCTCAAATGCATCTGGAGATCTGGGAGGCTTCTTGCTGTCTGCTGACATTCAAATAATGGAGGTCCATGGCGCCCGAGGCAGAAAGGTCCATAAAAGTCCACAAAAAACGTGTCAATATTCCTCCATACTGCTCGTCCAATGTATTCCAAGTGTCCTGAGTGGGTAGCGTCCATAATTTACTCGAAACGAAGTCATTTAGAATGTTTTTAGAGCATAAACAGTAGTTAATAGGATTTCCTAAAAGCGCGTTCACGAGTCTACGGAAACCGCGGCAGACCAAACCAGATGAAAGTGCGCATTCAGCTCAGCAAAGAACTCATGCTCTTCCTCAACACTGAAGTCCTCAGACATTTTTCTTTCGTTGTTTCTTTCTTTGCACAGGTAAACAGCACATTTCTTCTTCTACGCTTTCATTATCGGCAGAGCAGACGCTGAATGCGCACTTTCGTCTGGTTTGGTCTGCCGCAGTTTCCGTAGACTCGTGAACACGCTTTTACGAAATCCTATACACTACTGTTTATGCTCTAAAAACATTCTAAATGACTTAGTTTTGAGTAAATTTTGGATGCTACCCACTCAGGACACTTGGAATATATTGGACGAGCAGTATGGAGGAATATTGACAAGTTTTTTGTGGACTTTTATGGACCTTTCTGCCTCAGGCACCATAGACCTCCATTATTTGAATGTCAGCAGACAGCAAGAAGCCTCCCAGATCTCCAGATGCATTTGAGATATCAAAAAAGTACTCCAGAGTGTTGTTCAGCATGGGGGTGAGTAGAAAATGAAGGCTAATCATGTTTTGGGTGTACTATTCCTTTAAGATCCAAGATTTTGAGATTAAAGTCAGAATTCTGACAAAAAAGAATTCTGAGAAAAAAGTCAGAATTCTGACTTTTTTCCAATATTATATTAAACTGAAATAATATTAAACAATCAGTTAACTTTTTTTTTTTTTTTTTTTTTTTTTGCAGTGGCCCTAAACCTCTTCCGTGGACATAAGCATTGAATTATGCATATGGTTTAATATAGCACCAATAATGCATCAAATTGCGTGTGTTAAATTTGCGGTTTTGTTTGATTATCTGAAATAAGGTTATTGATTCAATGCTTTACATACACCAGAGGAGAAAAAAGCTGAGAGGCTTTATCTTGCGTTTTGTCAGTTGTGCGTAAAATGAGTGAAATATTTGCGACGATGAGTATTAGTCCAAGTGGTGCCAGAGGAGGAAGTGAGGAGGAGGGACCAGAGGCAGATGGGTGGTGTGTGAGAACACAGACTGCAGGCTGGATGGTTCTCAGTAGGGACTCTACCAGCGCCATGGAATCTGGAGGCTCTCCACTGCTGCCTCGGGTTATTTTTCTCCAGCAGTAATGCGCACTCAGTGGTGCTGGATTTCAGAAAGCCCGCAGACTATCTGCCACCCAGAAACACGAGTTTCAGAAGAATTACGCGCATCAGCCGCAAGTCCAGGCAGTGGTGAAAAAGAGGATCACGGAAGAACCAGTTCTGCAGGTTTATTTCAATAGATCGTAACTCAAAGTGAGAGAACACAAATGCACTCGTTTGCTCCACAAAACAAGTAGTTTGTTTTTTTTAAAAGATATATTTTTCACATGACTAACAAAAGGAAGATGTCGGATTTGATGAAGAAGAGGCTTTACGTGGCTATGGACGTGATCTGCGTTCTTGTTGGTAAGTTATGGAGACAAACTTTCCCAAACTTCTTGTCCTGTCTGGTTTTATCCGAGGTTTTCATTTCATGCTGTCAGCAAATATCCAGCCGCGGGTCAAATCTTCACTTCGACAGCAGATTCTTTCTAATAATCCAGTGAGTTTGGCTTTATTCCACAGAGCAGCTGAAACGCCTGTAATGTTTTTTAAAAATACAAAGAAAGTACAAAAATGGTTCAAAATCAATATTTTTTGTGTGAATCTTGTTAAAGCTGAGTGAAAACTCAGCCATACTTTACAGAGCCGCAGGAACTTCAATGTTTGTTTATGGAAATGTGATATGCATGCGCACGCAGCGCCTATTTCTCATTTTTCTAAATATTTTGTCTGCCAAGAATGGTTTAAAGAATGCTGAACTAATTACTGTTCAGTATTTTTTTTTTTCTGGCTTCTACTGAAGTTCAGCGCGTCACTGTTGATGGGTCAAACTTCAGGCAGAAGTCAATTTAAAGGGACAAGAGATGCAGAAGTCAAAGGGTTTTAACCTGAACGGATTAAACTCTGTTATAAAACATGAAGTTAATATGTAATTTAGGACCTGTAGGAGGGAATTTCTAGGGCACTCAGTGAAATACTTTGAAAATCATAATTTTAAGCCAATAGTGTTATTGGAATCCAGGACAAGACCTTCAGAAAATATGGATATTTTGATGGCAAAAATCAATTTTAATGTAATAACAAGAAACGCAAACTTGCCCGCATATATTAAGAAAAATAACAAAAGTGCTTCTATAATATATTCATGAAAAACACTCAGAGTGAAAGAAACACATTTTTTTTTATGGTTCAACATAAATTGTAGCAGTATTAGCATTAATGTTAATATAATTGTTAACTAGTCTTATTAACTTTTTTTAACATTCAACTGTTTGTTAGTATTTTTCACAGTTGTTTACATGCACAATGTACATGAACACTTCACATTCAATATAAGATCACATAAAAGCTTTGCTTGGGAGCCATTTCTCTATTCAGGCATCCCCAAACTCGGTCCTCGAGGCCCCCTGTCCTGCAGGTTTTAGAGGTTTCCTTGCTCCAGCACAGCTGATTTTAATTGAAAGCTGATTAACAGGCTTTTGGTCTCCTGCAATCATTATAACCAGCTGTGCTGAAGCAGAGAAACCTCTAAAACCTGCAGGACAGGGGGCCTTGAGGACCGAGTTTGGGGATGCCTGCTCTATTTCACCCTTGTCCCATCTGGTTTGTCTAGTTCTTTATTTTTTGTTGCTGTCTTTTGTCTTGAATGTTGTCTATTTCATCCACTTTTCTTCCATTTGAGTTTACTGAAGTCTCAATTGATGTCTTTTTTTCCATAATGTAGATTTCTTCTATTATTCCACCTTTTTTTCTATTTAATTTACAGTAGGTAATATATCATTCAACGGTTCATCTAATTGGTCAAATGCCAAAATAAGATGTACAGCCATGTAGCAGTGTCTTAGCTGAATGGCTGGATATAGATCTTGTGCTTCTAGACCTCACTGAGGGTCGCGGGGGGACTCCATTTGTAAGGGGAATGCAAGTGATCAAAAATAGTAACTTGCCCTATAAAGGGTGAACTGGTAAATACTATGTTTTATAACACATTTCAGTGATATGACAATTGAAAGTGATTTGAATTAATAACACATAGATAAAAAAAAGTCAGAAAAATATAATAAAGTGGGATACTAAAGGCAGGTAAAGGAACTGTGATGTTCCAGTCACCAGTTTAAATAAAAAAAAGTCAAACTTGGATTTAAACAAATACATTTTTGAGCTAAATTCTTAGCATCTTCTGGCACTTTTGCAGTCATCTGAGATTATTTCAGATAATCAGAGCATATGAACTAAAAGCTGCCATTTCTGGTTCTGGCTATGCAGAGTAGTACTGAGCCAGAAGAGACCTGAGTGGTGGAAACACTGACAAAAAGTCTGTAATGTATTTTAAAGCTAAGCCATTCACTGATTCATAGACTAACATACATATTTAAAGTCTATTCTTTAAGATAAAGATATATACCGTTAGAATTTTAGAACTTCAATGATGTGCTCTACTTTCTTGACATTAGTGAGGACACAGGCAGCATTCTGGAATAACTGTAGCCGTCTGGTGAACATTTTATGTAGACCTGTGAAAACCCTGTTACATTAATCAATTAGAACATTTATAAACGCATGGATGAGGATTTTTTTCATAATTCTCGGTAGGAATGAACTAAAAGATACAAAATATTGTTTCCTTAAAGTTTTCTGAGCCTACATAAGCCAAGAAGGAAATAAATATTCGAGAGAAATATTGTTTTTCTTTTCTATTTGGGTTCTGCAAAGACTAAATCAGATTTTTCTAAAGATCATGACAGAGATCGGCAGTCCAAGTCAGAAATCCTGCATGAATTGCTCATTGTTAAGTATGAGTAATATCCGTAATGAAAGATGCATTTGTCTGTATTTCCTCAAGCACTGAAAGAGCATGTTCATAAAGAAGTGGGTTTCTTGGCAGTCTTGAAAAATCTGAAAAAAACTATGAAATAATTTTTTTGTTTCTGACGTCTGACATCATCTGTGCGTCCTCCGTTCTGTCGCAAATTGAATCTTTTTTTAGTCTGTGTGGTGATGTAGTCAGTGTGCATGACACACAGCTTCCCCTGTCGCCCATCAGATCAAGTCTATTTGTGACGAATGACGGAGCAAAATACAGTGGACACATGGGGAGAGTAAAGCCAGTACATTTTCAAAACTACAAAAGCACTCAGAGAGCACAGATGAAGTAGCTCATTTCCTGTGACATTCATTGCATTTCACGATACGCACCTTCTCTGAAATTTTCAGCATTCATTCAGTCATTCAGTCATTTTGAAAATCAAACAACACTGATGAAAACATAACCTCCTTGGCAGTAATGAAAGATGATCCATGGACAGATTCTACACACATCAAGTGAGGACTGTTGCACGGCAACGTTTTGCTCTGGATGACGCAGTGGACGTATAAATTACTATGTATAAAGCCAGCTCTAGAGATAGATTGAAACATCTGAATACGTAGATATTGAAATATGTGCATTACCTAGATTTGAATAGGAGTCGTTGCAACTTTTGGGCCGTAAGGGGAAAAAATAAGGATACACTATAGGTACTTGTTTTTAAAAGAAAATTATAAAATAGTTTGCAGATCATCGACTCTCATCTGGGTAAAATAATAATCTGCTTACTTTTCTCTTGTGCACGTCGTTTATATAAATATGCACCCAGATGTGACGTTGGTGTCCACTGAAACCAAAGTGTTTATTTTTCCAAAGGGTTTATTTCAGATTTTTTTAGTGTGGGTCACTGATATTTCATGGTCAGATTTTATTCTGGTACTGGAGAAGGTTATCAAAGGTTAACCATGTGTTTTCAGAATTGTTAGGGTAACAAAGGTGCTTTTTTTTTTTTTATTTTTTTTTTTTACACTGTTTGTTTTTTTTCTAGCATTAGTATGTCACATTCTGTATGTAAAGCCCATAAAAAATGTCAAATTTGAAAGAAGTCTGGAAGAAATTGCTTAAAGTTTAAGCACTATTTGGACCTCTAGTTTTAAAGGATACACAACATCAGAAGCCCAAAGGAATAGCTTATTGTTTTGGCTTTCATCGTTTTTATTTGTTTGGCAGCATTGAAAACTCTAACCATCATGTGGTCCTGCAGTCACAAAAGGCTGATGCATTCAATGATGTATGGAAAACTCAGCTTCAGTCCTCTAACAAACAACTTGCCACATTTTTGATGGAGGCAGTTGGGTGGCCACTGATTGGCAGCCATGTTTGGTATCAAATTCTAGGCGTCTCTAAGACCTCAGGCTTTTCAAACCTGACTTTAGATTGTTGTTGTTGTTTGGTCATTTCAGTGTATGAGGACAAAATGAACACATCCAGAGTCCGAGTCTCAATATATTTATAGCAGCTTATGCAAATTATATTTCCAAATCGTTTCCGTGTTATCTTATTTGATTATTTACATAAAATTTAGTTTGGTGTGTTAAGTCTGATTAGTTGATCAGAGTTTATGTTGGTCTGCCATCTGCTGCAAAGCTATAGTGGCAGAGAAACCATATAAACCGAAAGAAAAGTAATGTAAAGAAACAATAAAATCATTTTATATTAATTATGCACGCTGTAGTTTTACATTGTATAGCCGACCTGGCTGAAGCTTAGATGATTTGTTTCATAATGCATTTTTACAGCACTGTCTGAACATCAATTTCTCTGAAATGCAATCATCCAAACCCCTAACAACTGATAAACCCACAAAATCTGAACTANTGACTGTATGATCTGGTTGAAGTGCCTTGAGATGATGTGTGTTGTGAATTTGGCACTATATAAATAAACTGAATTTAATTGAATTGAATTGAATTTAAACAAATACATTTTTGAGCTAAATTCTTAGCATCTTCTGGCACTTTTGCAGTCATCTGAGACTATTTCAGATAATCAGAGCATATGAACTAAAAGCTGCCATTTCTGGTTCTGGCTATGCAGAGTAATACTGAGCCAGAAGAGACCTGAGTGGTGGAAACACTGACAAAAAGTCTGTAATGTATTTTAAAGCTAAGCCATTCACTGATTCATAGACTAACATACATATTTAAAGTCTATTCTTTAAGATAAAGATATATACCGTTAGAATTTTAGAACTTCAATGATGTGCTCTACTTTCTTGACATTAGTGAGGACACAGGCAGCATTCTGGAATAACTGTAGCCGTCTGGTGAACATTTTATGTAGACCTGTGAAAACCCTGTTACATTAATCAATTAGAACATTTATAAACGCATGGATGAGGATTTTTTTCATAATTCTCGGTAGGAATGAACTAAAAGATACAAAATATTGTTTCCTTAAAGTTTTCTGAGCCTACATAAGCCAAGAAGGAAATAAATATTCGAGAGAAATATTGTTTTTCTTTTCTATTTGGGTTCTGCAAAGACTAAATCAGATT